TGCTATATGCTATGAGGTAGGGAGATGAATCAGAACACAATATAATGATACACATGAACTTAAAAAGCTATAACAAAACTTTTTACTTAGTTTGTATACTAACTTAAGATAAAGAGATAACCTACAGAATGGGAGAGAAATCTTTGCTAGATACGCATGTGATAGAAGTAATTATCTAGACCATATAAAAAGTTCAAGCTGGGCAGTGGTGGCACAGGTCTTCAATCCCAGCACTCGGGAGACAGAGGCTGGCAGATCTCTGAGTCTGAGACCAGCTTGGTGTACAGAGTGAGTTCTAGTACAGCTGGAGCTCAAAAGAACCTAAACATCAAATGACTAAATCGTTAAATGTGTTAATGTTAAAAGATGAATTGCAAATGGCTAATAAATATTTAAAGAAAGAACTTACAACACCTTCTCAAATTAGTCTAAAAAATAGGAACAAATTCATTCTATGAAGTTTGCATTACTGTAGCAGTGAAACCAAATAAAGAAGGTCCACCTGGGGCACACCCAGCAGAAGTGAGCTGCACACTGCCTACTGCCCCAAGCTCCATCATCTTCCCTCCTGTTGGGCCCCCAAGAAATCCAGGCCTGAGGGGTCCCAGGAACATGGCTAGAACTCACTCTCCCTGTCCTTGGCCTGCTGATCTACCTGGGGCACAGCCAGCAGAGGTGAGCAGTATGCTGTTCCCTGAGCTCTATTGTCAGGCCCAAGGCTCTGCTTTCCCCTCTGAGGAGTCCTGTCAGCATCAGGAACATCCAGCTAGTATCAGGGACAAACAGATGACTAAAGTCCAGTGTAAGAACACAACCAAAAGGAGCCAGGGCAATATGGCACCACCAGAGGCCAGCTACCCTACTACAGCAAGCCCTGAATATCCTAACACACATGAAGCATAAGAAGATAACTTTAAATCCAGTCTTACATGTTAGAGGCCTTTAAAGAGAAAATGAATAAATCCCTTAAAGAAAAACTGGAAAATACAATCAAACAGGTGAAGGAAATGAATAAAACTGTTCAAGGCCTGTAAATGGAAATAGAAGCAATAAAGAAAAAACAAACTGAGGAAATCTTGGAGCTGGAAAACCTACAAAGGAGAACAGGAACTACAGACACAAACATCACCAAGAGAATACAAGAGATGGAAGACAGAATGTCAGGTATAGAAGATACAATTGAAGAAACCGATACATCAGTCAAAAAAAAATGTTAAATCTAAAATGTTCTTGACACAAAATCTCCAAGAAATCTAGAACACAATGAAAAGACCAAACCTAAAAATAATAGGAATAGAAGAAGAGGAGGAGGAGGGGGAGGAAGAGGGGAGGAGGAGGGGGAGAGGAGGAGGAGGAAGAGGAGGAAGAGGAGGAAGAATCGTTATCATCCCAGGTCTAAGGTCCAGAAAATATTTTCAACAAAACCATAGAAGAAAACGTCCCCAACCTAAAGAATGAGATGCCTATAAACATACAAGAAGCCTACAGAACACCAAATAGATTGGACCAGAAAAGAAAGTCTTACTGTCACATAATAATCAAAACAATAAATGTACAAAACAAAGAAAGAATATTAAAAGCTGCCAGGGGAAAAAAAACAAGTAACATATAAAGACAGGCCTATCAGAATTACACCTGACTTCTCAACAGAGACTGTAAAAGTCAAAAGTCCCTGGGTAGATGTCTTAGAGACCCCGAGGGATCAGAGATGTCAGCCCAAACTATTATACCCAGCAAACCTTTTAATCACCATAAATGGAAAAAAAAACAAGTTATTTTATGACAAAACCAAATTTAAACAATATCCATCCACAAATCCAGCCCTACAAAAGGTACTAGGAGGAAAATTCCAACCCAAGGGGGCTAACTTCATCCACGAAAACACAGGAAATAAATAACACCACACTACTAAAAACAAAGAAAAGAAAGCACACATACACACAGACTCTACCACCACCAACATCAAAATAACAGGAATTAACAGTCAACCTCTTAACATTAATGGACTCAATTCCTCAATAAAAAGACACAGGCTAACAGAGTGGATGTGAAAACGGGATCCATTTGGCTACATTCAAGAAACACACCTCAGCAACTAAGATAGACATTACCTCAGAGTAAAAGGTTGGGAAAAGGTTTTCCAAGGAAAGGACGCAAGAAGCAAAGTGGTGTAGCCATTCTATCCAATAAATTGACTTACAACCAAAATTAATCAAAAGAGATAGGAAAAGACACTTCATACTCATCAAAGGAAAAATCCATCAAGATGACATCTCAACTCTGAACATCTATGCTCCAAACGCAAGGGCACCTACATTCGTAAAAGAAACATTACTAAAGATTAAATCGTGTATCAAACCACTTAGCTATGGATCCTCTGTGCTACAATACTGACTAACCAGGCAAAATATTCCCATGGATGCAGTAGTGGCATTAGTGCCCTGGTGGTTAGGAATCTTTCTGATTTTACTTAGGGAAAATATATATTTCATACTTTAAGCCTAGTCAAAAGTCTATAGATAGTGAGGTCATAGGCTATAGGGACAAATCTACTACTGAATATTTTGCTAAATGGGTGTGCAATCAAACTAACTTCTAAATATTTATGTTTATTCCTATCAATGAGTGTTTCTCTCTGCCTTGGTCAGAAAAGCTAATATTTAAAGCAGAGACTCATAATTTGTCCAAATGTTGACAGTAAGCAACAGGACATATTATACCATCCCCTACAAAGCCCAGGAAATATTGTAACAGAGGGGGCAGGAAGACTGTGCAAGCCAGAGACTGGTCTTTTGGAAATGACATGGACAGCTATTGCAATCATGAGCACACAGCATCTCTGAACACATGTAAAAGTCTTGCCTGCCTACACATGCTAAAACTGTAAAAGCGGGAGAGAGACTAGTTGGAAAGAAGGGGGTTAGTAGATGGTGAAGGAACAGGAGAAAGCAATGAGGGCAGGTATAATGATAATAAATTGTCAAAGATAAGAAAATAATACAAAGTGTTCTACATCCTTACCCATTGGGAAAGTGCAAATTCAAACTACACTAAGATATGGATACTAGGAACCAAATTCTTGAAGAGCAACAAGCACTCCCAGCTCTCTGACCCATAATGCCCAAACACTTGCTACCAAAATATTAATCAAGAGGTTAGCCTACTGTGATACCTTCCAACAAGACAGGTTTCTTGCAGTCTTCTCAAGTATGCCATACAGTTTCATATATCTTTACCATTATATAATTCTCTTTATCTGGCATTCCTTCCCCCATTATCCCTACTTAAACCTTCTTAGTAAGGTATCAGCTATCCTGCCCAGCTCAGATCCTCATCTACATTTAATCATCTCCTCCACAAAGCTACTTGATTTAAACAAAATAGACACAACTATCTCAGAATATATGTTCTTTTTTGTTGTTTGTTTGTTTTGTTTTTGTTTTTCGAGACAGGGTTTCTCTGTGTAGCCCTGGCTGTCCTGGAACTCACTCTGTAGACAAGGCTAGCCTCGAACTCTCGAACTCAGAAATCCGCCTGCCTCTGCCTCCCAAGTGCTGGGATTAAAGGCGTGGGCCATCACCGCCCGGCCAGAATATATGTTCTAAGATCCTCAAATCCACGATTAATGGAAATACATTAATTTGTGTTAGAACTTCAGGGCTAAAGAACTTACAAGACTATTTAATATTGTAACTAAAATACATTCTGCATTTCATTACATTAGTACTTTGGTAACATCAACCTTTATCTTAATCTGAAAAGAAACAACAGTGTTGTTGTCACTTTAGAAACCTTACTGCTTGTATAACCATACATTAAAACCCCAAAACAACTTTATAAAACCTCTTGCTCTCACATAGCAGTCACACTGAATGTAAATCAAAACTGAGTCTCAGCAAACGTATAATCTCTTCACGTACTAGACCTTGAGAAATCACTAGATAATGAGTATGAAGTATATGAACACCCACGATAATAGAACTATGGTAGGGACTTGTGTCAAAACAACAGCTTGTTGTCTTAAGGAGGACATGACCTTCTTGGTGACAGTCCCCTGGTTTGTCATTCTTTATACTAAAGTTGACCTAATAGAAGGCAACGACTCCAAAAATATTTGTTGAATGAAACTGCCTCCTGGTTGGTCCCCCTGTGCTCAGGCCATCTTCCTTAGTGAAATCCAGCTTACTGTTTCACAGAAGTATCACTGACATCATTCCAGTGCCCCCAAACCTTTGCTGACTGTCTACCATCTGCTCTACATTACAGTGTTTCCTGTCCCTGACAAGGCACCGAAGAGTATTCGCATCCTTGCTCCAGCCTGTCTTTTCAGTCTCATTCCTACTCTCTCCCTTTCACACAAAGTCTCTTCAGAGTGCAGCAGCTGTTCTTGGAACACTTTAGAATTGTCATGTCATGCCTTTTCAAACACGTTTCTGGTCTGAAAGGTCATCCATCTTCTTCTGTCTGAAAGTGTTTTTATTAATAAAGCTTAAACATCACTACCTTTAGAGCTTTCCCTGAGCCCAGAATCATTATGGCCTTTCCTTGATTTCTGGATCATTGTGTTTATTCTGAAAATATACTAAGCTAATTCTGCAGGGAGGACAGAGAGGGAGGAAGGAGTGCCCTGTTAGGGACATACCCCTGCAGCAACTGCAGCACTATGTGTTAAGCATACTGTTCAAGCAGCAGTGGGAGGATGGGGATGGATGACCTTTAATTCATGAGGTGCTACTGTGCTCTGTGCATCTTTTGCACAGTGCCTGTGTACTTGTGTGTCTGGGGGTTGGGACAGCGGAGAAAAGGAGATACAGGGGAAGGAAGAGAGGAGAAATCAGAATTGAAGGGAAGGTGAACGCAGTGCAGTAATGGCAGATGGGCGGACCCACATTTCTTGGGCTTTACATTTGGCAGAGGCCCAGCCCTGCAAGCTCAGAGGAAGTGGTTGGGGGTTGGGGGTTGGGGGTTGGGGGCGAGAGGTGGAAATGGGGAGGGGCCGCAGTCCCTCTGAGCCCGGCGGCCTGGACTGCCTGGCAGCCACCTTCTGCCCCACCTCAGCCAGTTCCTGAAGCTGTGACTCACGCCAACTGTGCCAGACGGGGCGCGCTGGGCAGCGCAGCCCCACAGGTGGCAGCGGCTCGAGGACGATTCCCGCCAGGCTAAGCAGTGGAGCGCCGCACAGCGCGCCTTCCCGCCTCCCAGCCGCCGCCCAGGCAGTTCCCGGCCGGCGCCAGCAGGCCTGCTCGGTCGATCTTCGAGCCGAAGATGCGGCGGGGCTGGAAGATGGCTCTGTCTGGGGGGTTGCGGTGCTGCCGCCGAGTACTGTCCTGGGTGCCAGTGCTCGTTATTGTCCTCGTCGTTCTCTGGTCCTACTATGCCTACGTCTTTGAACTCTGCCTGGGTAAGTGGGGCTGGCCACATAAACTGGGGAAATTATGCTCCAGCACAATCGTCTGCCCTATCCTTCATACCGATGTCCCCAGTGCGCTCAGCCCTCACCCTGCGGCTTTTCCTTTCGCGCCCTGAAAAACTCCCAGTTTCCAACCTTGGGCTTCTCACAATCTCTCTCGTGTGCCGTCCCACAAGGGTCTCACCACGTCGCCATCTCCTCTCCTCTAGGTTTTCTTATTTCTTTGCTCTACCCTCAATAATTCCCTGACTTTTTCTTCTAGGACCCTCTTTCCCCATGCAGGGAAACCACTTAAGCTCTACTGCCTGGCAACCACCTTCTGAGCCCACCCAACCAATTGAGGAAGCACCATACCCTGCATCCTTAAAGTGCCCGCTCCACCAAAGCATCCAATTAAGGGCCCCACCATTTCTCCCTCCTACTATGATTCCTTTCATACTGGGGATTCCCTACTAAGAATCCAAAAATAATTCCTGTACTCTCCTATTAGCTTACCTTTTCTCCACATTGAGATCCATACTTTCTGCAATCCTCAAACACAAACTGAGAGGTTTCACATCTCCTCTCCACTCACTTATGAACCTCTCACATCAGAACATTCTGTTCTCACTTTTTACACAGGGCTAAGCCCTCGATCCATCCTTTCCCTGAGATCCAAGGGTGCAAGCATGTGTACGAACACATGCAACACACACACACAGAGAGACAGAGATAGAGAGATGCTTCATATGTTTGCCTTCTTATGACTCCGCAGTCTTCTCTGTTCTATCTCATGTTTCACACAATAATAATAAGCTTTCCCTTTTCTTTCCCTGTGGTCAGAGCTTTTTGTGGTGTGGGGGGGTTCTGTACAACACTCTCTTCTCATATTAGAGCTCTGCAGTGTACCACACTGGAGTACAGCCTCTTCTCTTTCCACTTCATAAAGCATCCAACTTCTCAATAGAAGGCTCACATTATTTTCTAACACATGTCACTAAGTGACCCCAGTTTTCATAGTATGATCATGTCCCATCCACTATAATGTCATACTAGAATGTTTTTACAAAGAGTCCCCACAATCTTTACCATAGCCCACTGAAGAGCCAGTACTTCTCTAATCTTTACCTTTCTTTACTGAGAAACATTCTTCACCCCCTCCAGTGTTTTCCCACTGTCCCCACCACATTCTGTCACTATCAGTCTCTGGTGCTTGCCATTGTTTCCTCTCAGCATGCACTTGCCCCCTGCCTTCTCAAGCCTGGGGAATCCAGTTCTTTCTTGCTGAAGTTTGAAGCATTTTGCCCTTTCCCATGGGAATATACTTTTGTTGTTTTCTCTTCTTAGACTACCCCTTTAATGATGCTGGACTGTCCTTATGCCCTGTCCTACCACACCAGAGATCACTCTAGTCTCTCCTTATTTACAACCTGGTTCCTATCATATGCCTTGTGCTTTCAAACTCAGAATTCTACCGTATTTCACAACACAAACCCCAAGACCTTCCCTTGTATTTACCCACACACACTTAGATTTTCATACCCTTTCGGTCTTCTGTCTATTACATATGGCCTTCTAACATTCTCATAAACTAAAATTAGTTTTCGTCACATGTGCTGTCTGCTCTCAACAGAAATTTCTCATGGTCCTTTGAAGAATCCCCATATCTTTGCACGTGAGATCCCATGAATACCTGTTATCACTTCAATTCTGAAGTCCCATCACCAGACCCTTATACTTGTGACCTGCTGTCTCCCCTATTCATTCAATGTGGCGCACTCATTGCCACCCCACTAGAGTTCATATCCATTTCATCAAACATCCCCTCAAAGATGCCTGCCTATGCTTCATTTATTTCCTCATATCATAACTTCTCACCTCAAATATTACTGCTAGAGTGCTACTTTTCAGCCCCAGGACCCAACTACACTTTTAATCCCTTTCTCTTACATATTTGAAAAAAACTATACCCCTACACAAATTTGGATAAAGTAAAGTAACTGTGTTTTTCCAATTTAAGAATTCCTCCAGTCAACTCTATAGATCAAGGTTTGGCTTTTTTTTTTTCTGACCTTCTTCTTAAGGGTGTTATGGAAAAATACAGAAAAGGCTTTTAGCAGTAAGTTTTGTTTGTTGCCTTCATGGATAGACATTTAGACTATTTTCCTTCTCTTCTTCTCTGTCTGCTATATTCTCTGTTACATTCCCTTGACTGGCAAGTTTTCCTGTTCTCAGACCTTACCACTTTGTCTTTTTTGAATGATTAACTAAGGGATCAAAAGTTCAGCTCCATTGTGATGGTATGTACATTGCTCCCAGGAACAATGCCACATTGTAAACACTATCAAGCCTACTTTTAAAGTCCTTTAGTACTAACATACATGAGCTCAACAAGAAATCATGTTAAAAATTAGTATGATGATAGTTAATTCTTATATAGTGCTTATTTTGTGCCAGAAAAAAGTGTCCTCACTGCAATTATATTGACAGTCTATATATCACCTCATTAATACTCAGAGCTCTATAAGGTAGGTGCCATTACCCCTACTATCCAGATATGTAAACTGAGTCAACAAACTGAAGTAAGAGCAAGTATCAGGTGTGGTGGTACACATTTGTCATCCCAGTACTTGTGGAGTAGAGGCAGGAGGATGAGGAGTCCGAGGTCATTCTCAGCTACATAGAAAGGTTGAAGCCAGGCTAGGCTACATAAAACCCTGTCTCACATCACACTCCCCCATACAGAAAAAAAACAATGCATATAATTAGCTTTCTATAGGTTGTAAGCCACACCATACTGAAAGCTGCTAGAAAGCTTAGGATTTCTTATGCCCAGCTGAGAGGAATGGACTGATTATGTATTTAATCTGAGATTATAGAGCTGGTAAATTGTTAAACTTAGATGGTAACACAGGCAATATGGACCTTCTGTTCAGGTTATTGTAACATGCTGTTTCCTCTCAAATAGCACAGACGTCAAAACTAGTAACCCACAGGACCAGTATAACCTGAAAATATATTTTACTTGGCTTGGATAGTGTTTTTTAAAAAGCATTTTTGTGTCATTATTAGCATTTTTTAAACTAAGCTAAACCTAGTAAAGTTACATATACCTATAGTCTCAACACTTGAGAATCTAAGAGAGGAGGGTCACTGGAGCCTAGGAGTTCAAAACAAATCTCTATATAATAGGCAGAACCCATGTCAAAAAATAAAAATCAGTAAAATAAGTGGCCTTGACTTCTGTTTCTGGCTCTCCCGTTCTATGATGCCATCTTCACTTTACAATAATAAATGTTTTCTAACGTTTTATATTTGTGTGTGTGTGTTTGTGTATGTGTGTATGTGTGTGTATTTGTGGTGTTTGGAGAGATGTGCCTTCACATGTTGTAGAAGTCAGCGGACAGAGGAAGCATAGAAATTGGTTATTTCCTTCTATCATAAGAGTTCTGGGGACTGAACTCAAAGACCTAAGGCTTGGTGGTAGATGCCTTTACACATTGAACCCTCTTGCTGGCCCTGTTTGTACAATCTTTTAACAAATGAGCAACCTGGATTTCAGAAATGTTGAAGCAAATTTTCTAACATTACATTTAGTATGGCACTGAGAACTGGAAGTCAGGGCTGTCTGATAACAAAGCCATTTCTTTACCAATGTAACAAAAGTAATAAATTAGGCTTTTGCTATGACTTAAAAGGTAGTATTAAAGAGCTAACTTCTTTCTGAAGAGAACTTAATCTCTCCTGAATGTCAGGCTATAACTAATACTAAAGGTGATACTTTTGTACTTATATTTTTATTTTTATAATATTTTTTATTATAAAATAATGACATCATTTCCTCTTTCCCTTTCCTCCCTCTAACACCTCTCCTGTATCCCCTTGCTCTATCTCAAATTTATGGCCTTTTTCTTTAATTATTGTAATATACACGTAGTCACACTTACATTTGTAAATAAAGTAGTACAACCTGATCAGACTGTATTATATAGTTGTATGTTTATAGGGCTGACCATTTGGTATTGGATAACTTCTCCTGCTCTCAGCATTCCTTAGTTGCCTTTAGTTCTCTGTCTGGGCTAGAGGCCCCATGAGATTTCCGCCTTTCATATTAACACATCTATTGTTATCATCCTTGTTCAGGTCTTATTTAGGCAGTTTTGCTGCTAAGAATGCATGGTTGTAGCCTCTCTGAAATTTCTAGATGACACAATTTCACAACAAACTTTCTGTTCTCTGGCTCTTCCTAACTTTCTACCCCATCTTCTGTAATGATATCTGGGCCATAGGTGCAGGAATTATATTGTAGATACATCAATTGGGCTGTAATTTTTTTAGACTAATTCTGCTTTTACAAGGCAGGAGATGTAGGGTAGGTCATCTGATATCTTTCAACTTCACTTGTTCTTATGTGCATCTTACTAGCATGATTGTTTATTCATATCACAAATACTTGCTCAGTACTTACTATACACCAAGCATTGCTATTATGACATTTAAATATTCGTGCCTGAAAAGCATGAATTGTAGTTTACAACACAGTATAAAAGTGTGGTAGGTATCAACTTACTATATTAATAAGAAAATAAAATATTCTACCTCCCTCAAAAAAAGAATCTTACATTTTTAATAAGAAAGAAAATGATAGTATCCATTTCATTAAGGTAAATGTTATATGACAAAAGACAACCATTGTATTTAGTCATTTAGTACATTTACAATGTTGTGAAGCCATTACTTCAATGTAATCAACAAATCATTATTGCTACCACCAAAAGAAAACCACAGAAACGTTAAAAAATAATTTTCCTTCTAGGGGAGGGAGGGCCAATGTTCTTTAATGGTATGGCACCAACCCAGTAGTCCATCAACCAAGTGGGTGATCTCAGCACACCAGTGAGGGTATAGAGAGCAAAAATTAAAGTCAGTGGGTTGTTTAATAAAATGATACTAAGTTAGGAATGGTTAGGATATATCTAGGATGAGTTAAAGAAAAGTACGAGGAGTAAATG